TTTTTTTTATAAATTACACTAACCTTAACTCTAATTCTAGCCTGACCTTAACGACAATGACCAGAATTACTTTGTCTTTGAAATAAACTTGTCGGTGAACTAAGATGTCGGTGAAGTGATTGTCAGTGAAATGAGCACCACCCATATTAGTTTCGTCTGGCAAATAAGAATTTTAAACCACTAATTTTAATCTTCGTAAGCAAATCAGAAATTTAAAAGCTACCCGACATAATAGAAGTTTTAAAAAATTACCCGGTTTAATATATATTAGTCTTTTCCAGTAAATAAGAATTTTAAAAACCACCAGACCAATATTATTAGTCTTCGTAGCAAACGAGAATTTTAAAAACTACATCATTTATTATTAGTCTTTTCCAGAAATTGTGAATTTTAAAAAAAACTACGACCTAATATCTTCATCCAACAAATAATAATTTATAGTTACGTAATTTTTAGTAAAAGACGAATTTTTGTTTTAGCTTTTTACGAAAATAACTTATTCGCACGGGTATATATGAAAATCATTTTCATATATACCGTGCGAATAAGCTTTCGAAAAAAGCACGGGTTTTTACATAAGACCCGTACGAAAAGATAGGTTATCGGTTTTGATCTGCTTTGAAAGGTTTAACAGTATTATGTAATTTTATTATTGGAGCGATATTGGTATGGCTCAGCTGTAGAAAATGTTGAAACTACAGTATTACAACTTTGCCAAAGCAACATTACTGAGTAACTAACATTATAGGTTAAGTTAAGGATGGCTCCGAAAGTATTTTGGCGTGTCAAAATATTTTTACGGTAAATTCATCTTGCCGAAAGTGCAAACCTAAAGTCGAAAGTCCTGAAAGTATTTTTCGTATACTGAAACAAAACAGAAAAATTTTATCAAGGATCGTGAGCTAAAAATGTTATCGAAAGCTTTACGAAAAGTTTAATATTGCGAAAAATTTGTTACTATTTAGCAAATATAAATGCAATTAAAAGAAATTAGACTCTAAGCTTTCAATTTTATAAAAACAGACTTACCTCTTGAAAAATCTAATTACAAAAAATACAGTCATAGAGTTTTACGATTATTTTTTATTCGCATCACTTTAACATAGGCAAAGCTGTGGGTAAATAAGCTAGATACATGTAGTTAAAAAAACTGATAACAATAAAACTGTAATAGATAACGAAATCCTTGCTTCTAAGTTAAGTTCTCAAGATTGCTGATTATTTTTAATTATTTTTGTAATGAAAATAGACGTTCCTTCGAAGCTAGAATGACTTTTACAGTGCCTTTTCGTTAGTGAAATGTTATGTTCTCAAAAAGTATTTTACAGATAAGTTACCCGAGCAATGAATTTGCATCAGCCAATCATACGAAAGTCCACCTATTAACATCTAGGCGTGGGACCAGAGAACTGCGGTGAATACGCATACGTATCGATATGCATATCGATATGCATAATAAGTTACCCGAGCAATTAATTTACATCAGCCAATCATATGAAAGTCCACCTATGAACACATGGACGTGGCTACCGGGACAGTGTGGCGAATATGCATATTGAGATTGGCTAAAACGGTTAATGTTTATTATAAAGTTATATATAAATGGCAACCCAAACACTAACTCCGCTTTAACTAGCCTTGTTTGTTTTCGCGACTATATATTTTAATACTCTTTACGTTTTAGTCATATGCTATGCGTTAACGCCCCCATAAAAAGTTGTTAAGAAAATAATTTGAAACGAAATGAGTCAGCACGTGCATTAAATTTTAATTAGGCTAATCGAATTAGTCAAAAAAAAAAAATCCGATCCGCGTGAAGTTACAAATTATTCCTAATTACATCAAAAAAAAAAAAAAAAACTCCGATCCGTGTGAAGTTACAAATTATTCCTAATTACATCATTATCGGATTTTTTTTAAGGATTAAATTTAAACATTAGCCATATTTATAGGAGCAATCGGATTTTTTCGAGGATTAAATTTAAACGTTAACCATATTTATAGTACTGAACAAAAGGTTACCATATCGTCCCCAAGGTTCAGGTTCACAATTTCGGAGAGCTAAAAATTAAATTTTCCAAATGCAGATTTTATTTTTCAAAAATCTTTGTCAAATTAATTCTTAGCTCTCTGAAACTTGTGTGCCTCAAAGTAATGCCCCGAAGCATTATTTCGCGACAATACGGCGTGGGTATAATACAAAAAAAAAAAGAAAAAAAAGGAGTAAATTTATTCTATTTTGATCACGCATATACGGGTGCCTACACATGTAGAGAATCTAGAAAGAATTATTCGTATTATAAATTTTTACTTAATTGTAATTTACGTATTGTCTTGTAAAAGAATACTGTATGTTACTGTTTCATGACGATGCAAGAGATTATTATTTTATTTATGTGAAGAAAGTATTAAATAACTGGAATCCGAAATTTGCCTTTTCGGGATTTTTAGAGTTTTATAATTTATTGGTGAATGAGTAACAAATTACCGGTAGATTCGGAATTTTACAATTATTTAAACACGGAAAGTACGGTACAAAAAAATCTCAAAAAAGTTCACTATTATTTAAACACAAAAAGTAAGGTGCAAAAAAAAAAATCTCAAAAAATCTCAAATAGTAACTACCAAGAAAAATGAACTTCTCTATCCATCATATTATCTTCGGTATCTTTGGCCTTTTGGTCTTTCTTGTTTCAAATACCTCTGCCGGTTGCGTTGTAAGCCCCAACTGTGATTGTGATGCTGCCAACATCGCTGGATGTAATGCAGCAGGTATTACCTCCGGACGCGCCTGTGGTTTTGAATTGGATTGTGACAAAGGCAGTGACATCTATCAAGTTGATGGTAAAGGAAACTTTTGCCACTTTGGTCCTTGTACTAAAGGCTGTACATCTGGACTTCCCAATAGTTTTTGCAATTAATGATAATATAATTAAATGCAATATTCTTCTCTCATATAATTTTTTATTATTGGTGATACTGGTGGCTTCCTGTTCTCAAATTTGTAACATTTTGATCAGTGTAATCCATTTTCTTGTATTGTTATTAAATTTCCTAACTCTTAAAAAAGTTCTTTTCTGTATAAATTATATATGTTGTTTAGTTTAACTTTAGTGTTTTGATATAACTTTCTCTTCAATTTTTTTCATCATA